AAAGCCTCGTCCACAGCGAGGGAGAGATCGAGATCGCTGGCGATAAAGATGGATCCTGCTCGCTCGATGATAACTATTTCGTCGTATTACCGTTGACGGATATACTTGGTCGGATCGAATGATTGAAAGGTGTTTTAAACATTGTTGTTTAGAGGAGGTGTTCGACGACGAGTAGCAATTCGCTTCGTTCGCAATTGAAATGTTAAGGAAGAGTTTTTAATAGAAATTATTTTTTCCTTTTCAATTAAATATCGTTTATTAACGAGAGAATTGCATCTCCTGAGAAGAATCCTCTTTGCTGGAAAACGTGAAGTTTCAATTATGTACGTGGAGGAGGACGAGTAGCAATTCGTTCGTTCGCAATTGAAATGTTATCGTTAAGGAAGGGTTTTTAATAGAAATTATTTTTTCCTTTTCAATTAAATATCGTTTATTAACAAGAGAATTGCATCTCCTGAGAAAAATCCTCTTTGCTGGAAAACGTGAAGTTTCAATTATGTACGTGGAAGTATTATCATAATATTATAAGTTGGAATTCCATGAAGTACGTGTTCCATGGAATTATGTGCGTCACGGGAGGATCGCAACGGTGAGAGGAGGCGCAAGGTGGGAAATGTTGGATGCGGTTCGAGTACGGTATGATCGGCGCACGGCGCAGCGTGATAATGAGCGAATCGTGGACGGGTTATCTATGAGGCCGGCAGGCGGATTATCATTCGCCTAACGAGCGTGCAAATGTAAACTGGATCGGGCGGATCGGTGGCTCGATACCGGTGAGGATAAGCCACTCGCCGCGGATGCCTATCATTTGTCATGGTTGGGTCGTTGAGAAATTGATCGGGCTCACTTGGAAGTTTCAACCAGAAAAACCAGGGCTGCCCCTTCTTCGCCTTGGAACAAGGAGAGCGTAATTAGTTATTGCGTTTTTTTTTGTCATCGTTTAACCGCCACACTGCCTCGCGCTACTCGGTTGTACGTATTTTTCTTTTTTTTCTTTCTTTCTTTCTTCGGAATACAGTTGGAATTCCAGATTTGGGTTGGAAAATAGCGTAACGAGGAGTGGAGGAATTGCGCAAGAAAACTGGTCGGTAATCGTTGAATAATCACCGGTAAAATAACTTTTCCAAGAAACGTATGAGCTCCTCCGAGAATTATTCTCTCCTTTGTTATTCTTGCCTGTTCGCATTCCACTCTTCCGTTTATTTATCCTCTCCCTTTGTTTACATCTGAACTTTCCGAATATTTTCCGCGATATTGTAATTCGTAATTCGACCAAGCTAAGCTCCAAAACCACCGATCGTTCATCGAAATCATTTATCTGGAAAGGGGGATAAGAGAAACCACCGCAAAGGTCGAGCACGAACCAATCCATCTATCCACCGATCTTTCTTCCACGACTTCCTAGATTTTTGCCCGCCACCGTAATTTCCACGTTCTGCTTGACGATTCCACGCGGCACCACTCGGATAATTCGACAAAACATCGCTTCGAACACTCGTGGTGTAAACGTGATTGGCCTACATTACACGGAGAGATAGAACGGCTTCTGGTTCCAAGAAGAAGCGGATCGGCACGGTGTTCCTCCCAACGCTAATGGAACAACGCAACGTGCAATTCGAGGATTGTTTCTCTGCGACAAACGCGTTTTTTTAACACGTTTCTCGAGAAAAGTATCGAAAAGTATCGAAAAGTATCTCAAAATCAGTTAAAACGATTTGCAACACGACTTGCAAACAATTCTGTCGATGACGTGGGTAAAAATACGGAGATTGAAATGGTCGTTCGTAAAAAGTTAATAATATACGGAAGAAGATTAGAAGCGTACTTCTTCGTATCTTTTTCGAGTTTAATCTTTCGTGTGAAAAATAGATAGCCCCAAGGTAGATACGTAAGTACGATAGATAAAATAGAAATACTTTTCTCGCTTAACAACGAAACGGAAAAAGTCCTCGCGCATTTTCCCTTGCGTCGTAGAATTTTTCAAAAAAACTTGCCTAATCACAAGTTGCTACCAACTTCGAGTAAAATCAAATTTAATTTATGAAACCGTACGATTCTTTTCCCCCTCCGAGATATGCAATTTCCAAGTCTCTCTTATTGTTACATTGTCGCTTCGATTGTAAATAAGGATCTCGAAGGAAGCAGAAGGAAGAGAAAGACTTCGTGGAAGAAAACTCTTCCTCCTCCTCCAGTGAACGAGGGGCACGCGTGTGTCCGTCTTTCCGCCATTATTAATACCATTATGCGAGGCTGAAAGCGGTGGAAGAGGTACGTGGGCGCGCGGCCCCGTTGTAAACCCGTGATTAAAACATAAATCACGCGTAAGTTGGTGGAGCCGTTCCTTACGATCCGGCCATTATGCGGATTTGCCGCGGCGGATCCTACCGTTCCGCGCCGTTTAAGTGATTTCTTGGCGCGGAAGAGACACGCACAGGCCCTTTCCTCCCAGCGTTTCCAAGCCTCTTTGCGCGAATGCATGCGATGATGGATCGTCCCCGCGTTGAACGCGTCACGAATGGAAGGCTTCCGCGGCAGGTTGTCCCATTGAAAAATCCACGGGACGCTTTGGGATGGGGGGGGGGGGGGGGATGGCGAGCAAAGTACAGGAAACTGCGGCGAACCAACGATCCTCCCTCCTTGGATCCTCTGCTAATTACGTTGTTTGGATCCGAGAGGCAAGGGGAGGGAGTTAAATCTCGATCGACGAGTTTCTTTCCATGTCTGTCGCAATATCGTAACGTGCAATATCCTTGGGATTTGCAAGGGAAAAAAAAGAGAAAATTTTATCTCCTTCTTGTTTGTCCTGCCTGTGAAAATCGATGTGTTGATCCTTTTAATAAAATTCAAAAAGGATCGAAACCGAAGGTGACGTGAGATCTAGGATGGCGGGCAGCAATTCGATGTTAGAAAAAGTTGGTATAAAAGAGAAAGATTGGGAATAGAGTAAGTTGCTCGTTAATCATCCGAAGATTGATTTTTCATGAAATGGTGACTCAACTGGGATAATTGTCGCGGATTAACAGACCGCGACGCGTTTCGATCCCTTTCCATTCGTAGTGGGATTTGGAGTAGAGGAATGCTTGCTTTGTCGCTCGCTGCTTTTTCCTCGAGGTAAAAAGTAACGAGAGACGTGGATGGATTTTTCGACGCGGCGGTCGAATTACACGGCGTAGGGGTGTCGCGGTGCGATTAAGGTTAACCCTTTCAACCGAACGCACGACATCTCTGGAGAAATTGACATACCTATTCCGCGCGCGTCCATCAAACGTCATCGGCATGACCTATGAACTCGCGTGCCGCAGACACACAATATCCCGATCCCATATCACGGAACTGAACCGGGGGGGGGGGGGGTTATCGATCTCGCAAGAATGTTGGACGTGTCGAGTCGACCTACTTCCTGCAAATCCTTACGCTATTGATCAACAATTTCTTAAACAATTCTTTCCACTCCACGTAGTTATCTTTGACGACACTTTTTTGACACTTTGACACGCCTCTTCATAAGTGGAAAAAAGTAGATCCATATCAGGATAAATATGACCTCGACTTTTCCTTATTTTGATCTTCAAATTCAGGCTAATTTAAGTTAAAAAAAGGGAGGATCACCGAAAATCTCGAAGAAACAAAGGATCCTAAACAACTCGATTTCCTAATTTTCAAATTATTTCAGGCTAAAGTTAAACGATCGTCGAAAATGAAAGAAACAAAGGATCTTAAACAACTCGATTTCCTAATTTTCAAAATATTTCAAATTTTCAGTTAAAGAATCGTCGAAAAGAATTCTAAATAACTCGAGTCATTTTTTAACTCGATCCGAACGAATCGTTCACGAAGCGGAGAAACAATTATGTACAACATAGAACGTGGAACGGAGAATCGAGGAGAAGAGCAACGAAACGAAATAATCCGCGGATGTCGATTGCACGGGGCGATACGATCGGTCGAGATTGCGGAGGGAGGGGTGGTGCGCGGTGAATAATGCAATTAGCGGCCGCGAAATACATTAATTCCCAATGACACGCCGCGTTCCTCTCATGCGGCTTTTACTTCCGACACGGCTCGGTATTAAAGCGGGCGATATTGAGCCGCAATTATCGGACAGAGGGTCGCGATCGACGATCCGCGGCGATCCTGGCCGACTTAATTATTGGCCTATTGGCTCGATCGTTGGCAAGTAGATCGAGCCACTAATTAGCCGTAAACCTGGCAAACCCGAGACACGTCCCGAGATCTATGAATAACGAAACGGAAATCAGATCTCTCTGATCGGAAAGCTGCGTCTTTGCAGCTGATTTCATCGACATGATCGTCGATTCGCTTTCGAGATCTGTTATTAAGCAAAGCGAATAACAGAGAAGAACCTATTTTGTTCGAAATCTCCTTGGCTTCTTGTAGAAACGATATTTAAATTAATTGCATCGAAAGGGATTAACGTTTACAAAATTTTCCAGGAAAAGTGATGTGTATCGTTATGAAACTCGTTGAAGCGATTATCTTACGCATCATCCGACTGACGTCGCTAAAGAAGCAATATTGCATTGTAAGGAAAATTCGAGCAGACAATTCCCTAACTTTACGACGGCCACTTGGTCCTTTCGCAACCGGATCTCCTCGCGAATCCGGAGCCAATCGGTGACATTCAATTTCCCCGGGCACACTTAACCATCCCCCCGTATATCTCGTATCGGTATCTATTCCGTGGCACAACAGGCGTTAATTATTCATTTCCTAGAACAGCTCTCCGCGAGTAACCTCGTAAGGTCTCTGCCATTCTCTCTTCTCTCGATTGAGAGAGAGAGAGAGAGAGAGAGAGCTCGATCGAATCGTCGACTTAATGCTGTCGAGAGATACTGACAACGAGGTCTATTGTAGCCGCGCACGCGAGAGGAGCTATTATGGCAGGGTGACAGTGTAACGCGTAACACACACGCACGCACAACACACACACACACACGGATCCGTGGAATAGGTTTGAATACGTTTGAATCGATTTGCAGGATTGTTAGAAACCGTCGTCGGCCGCTAGGTGCAGCCTAGAGAAGGTTCAGCTGGAACCGGGCCAGCGGCAATTCCGGATGGAAATCTCATTCCGAGGCGGATATCTTCGTTGCGTCGAGATTGTATCGACCACGGTAGACAAGGACTAAGGTCGCGTCCGACTGTACAGATATCGTTTCATACAGGGTGTCCAAGAAGGAATAATTCTACTTTAATTTCACGTTTGAAAGATCGATGTGATAAAATGGTCACGTATGGACATTTTTACGTGTGCGTAATTAAAACGTAGTAGTTTTATTTCTCCCTTTTTCCTTTTCTTTTCGTTTAAATACACGACCAATATTTATGCAACGCGAGTGACAGAATCAGTGGATGAAAAAATTACCGAAATATGCAAGCAACGATTGTTTAACACTTCGAAAGAAAGAGAGAGAGAGAGAGAGAGAGAAGCACTCCTCCATACGAAAGAAGACGAAAGAGAAACACGCGAGAAATAAAAAGGAACACCCTGTACACCACCTCTCTTCCTCCATTTCTTCTCACCACCTCACAATCTCGTCCACCAGATCCTTCGATTCGATTCCTTCGATTCCTTGCCCGATTTCGAGCGTAACGTTAAGAGGGCACCGTCCATTTGCATTCATCGCCTGCATACGCGAGCGCATCTCACGAGCGACGGTTAAGAGGCTGCATCGTGGCTACCGAGTAGTAAGCGAGCGTAACTGTTGTTTCTGAGAGGTCGAGCCAGGGCTCGGGTCCCCTACGTATTATTTCGTGTACCGTGTATACGCGTGAGGCGTGATGAGCGAACGAATGGGAGAGAATCGACGAGCCGATAACGGGCCGAATCGCCCGAGGAACACGGAGCAACGCGTTTAGATTTATAGGAAACCGAGTATAGAGCCCCTTTCTCTCTCTCTCTCTCTCTCTCTCTCTCTTCTCTTCTCGTCG